AAAGTGTGTGTATCAGGGGCGATTCTAACATTTTTTTCGATGGGGAGCATAAGAGGGTCCGTAATTCATACTGAGGGGCCAACCTTATCATAAGCCAATGATATATATCCAATCTGTGAGTGATGGGGGGCAGGACTTCGGGAGCCAATTAGTATTCAACTGGGGCCAGTGCTCATGTGACCTCGTCCTAGTATACACCCATGGTATGTACATTTGTGTGTGTGAGAGGGAATCTGCATTGGTGTTTGTGTGTTGTGCATTACTCTGTGTGTGTGAGTGTGTGTGTGTGTGAGAGAGAGAGAGAGTATGTGTGTGTGTGTGTGTGTGTGTATCGCAGACAGTTGTCTCCCTGAAGGTTAGGCCGACAGCTTGTGTTGTCTGCAGATTCTGCCGTCTGCTGCCCATAGAGAACATGGAGGCCGTGTCCTTTGAGCTTTCATCCCTGGGGCAGGTGGACAGCCCGGCGCCGGTCCTGCCTTTCTGTTTACCTGCGTTCTGTCCGCTGAACCCTCCCGATGGATGTATGTTCAGGCCGACCCGCCCCAGTGGGAGCTCCTGGGTCGTGACTCTCCTCAGCGAGGGACTGCGCGTGTTTTTCAGGATGATCAGCTGACGCTGGGTTTTCTTCTCCTCTTTCTGCGTGTTGTTCATACTGCTGCCTGTATAATGGAGGGCAGCTGGTCCATCCTTCAGCAGTGGGGCTTCCTGTTTGCTGCCTGAGGGCCAAAATCCCCAGCAGTCAGGCAGTCATGCTGTCACTCATCTCCTGCTTCTGGGCGTCCGTCAGTGTTCCCTCAGTCATGTGACCAGTGGCGGGCCCACAGGGGCACTGGGCCCAGCTGAAAGCTGATTGGGCCCTGGAGTGCCCCACCCCCGGTCACTAACCATTTCAAGAGATTTCTTTTTTATTTATGTGTGTGTATTTATGTTCGAGCGCAGATCATGTGGGGTACTCAGGAGGACCGGGGGTTGGGCTGAGGTCAGTGCTGAGATGAAGGGGGCGGTGCAATGGGTAGAAGAAAGCAGGTAGTGGGGGTGGGGCATAAAGGTGTAAAGACAATACAAGGCAGGCAGTGGATGGGGCAATTACTGGACTAAGATCTCTATAGAAGTGGGGGATCCAGAATGCTGTCACTATGGAGATCTGCAGTTGTCAAGGTACAGGGAGTGCCCTTATATGGGAATGATGAGGGGTGGGGGGTTTTCACAGTGTAAGCTAGGGCATGTTGATGGTCCTGAGGATAACTGGCTATAACTACACGTCTGGTTTGTTCCCGTTAGCATCGCTTACCTTCAAATGCAGTGATGGTGACGGCAGCCGGGGCCCTATGCCGTAGTGAATTAACAGGGCTCAGCCTTGGATAGAATTACTAAACTATCTCATGGGGGAAAAAAGTCTCAATTCTGCGTTATTAAAACAGTACAATTGGCCCTCAGTGTACGAGGAATGGCGTACTGATGTTCTCCTGCTTCCTTTCCGGCAAATTCTGAGAAGAATTTTGAAAATAATTCTGGGAAGAATTCATCTTTCTCAGCGGAACGATGCCTGTGATTCCCCCCCCCTTTCCCGTTTGGGTCTGCCCCAACAGGAACATTCCAGATTCATTATGAGATGCAGAAAGTTAATTATGTTAATGTCAGAGGATGTGCAGAATTAGCAGCCCCACAGAACACATTCTACTTATCACGCATGTTTTATTTATGGTTGGTTTTGATCTGCAAATGGGTGGTGAGGAATAGACAGCCAAGCCGAACCCCACCGCCTGGTCTCCATGGATCTGGGGGTAGAATTCCAAGATCCACCCCCTACTCCAGCTATCAGTTAAACATTACTTTACTTACATTACATTACATTACTATTTATTTACTATATATATCCTCCTGAGACCCAAGGAAGAAAGTGTCCTTCAATTTTAGGTTATTTGTCTTTGGAGGAAATAAAACATCTTACAATTTAGATTTTTTCTAATGTATTTTTATTTTTAATTTGACAGCATGTCCTCTTTAGTGTACAACAGGAATAAATACGTTTCCTTACATCAGGGAAAAGTTTTGATGCAAAAACAAAATGTCCACTACAATGGACATAAATGATTGGGTGGGGTCTCAGGAGGATATAGGCCTTGTTTTCAGTTCTCCCAGGTAGTTAGTTTAATAAATACTGATTCTGATTGGTCAGAGGCTTCACACCTGACTGACAGGTAAAGGAAGGCTGGAAAACCAGCAGGGCTCGAACCTCGAGGACCGTAAGTTGAATAACCCTGAACTAAATACTTGGTTGTGCCACCTTCAGCAACAACAACTGCAATCAGATGTTTGTGGTGAGAGGAGATCAGTTTTTGGCATTGCTCCGGTGAAATGCTGGCCCACTCTTCCCTGCACAATTGTTTTAATTCAGTCACTTTAGAGGGTTTTCGATTATGAAATGTCTGACTGCAGCCAGGATGTCCTTTGTGTGGAAAGCTGTGTTAGCGTTGCGCTAAATGTAGCAGAACCCAGGTCTTCCAAATAGTTCCACATCAGTCAACACAAAACATTCATCCGAAAGTGTTGGGTATTCAAGGTGTTTTTTGGCAAATGTTAGATGAGCCTTCATGTTCCTCTTGTTTAGTGGTTTTTGTCTTGCAGCTCTCCCCTGGACGACATTTCTGTCCAGCGTCTTTCTAATCGTGGAATTGTGAATGCAAACATTAACTGACCTGAGAGGCCTGCAGTTCCTTAGATTTTCATCCAGGGTTTTCTGTAGCTTCCCAGATGAGGTTTCTATGTTCTCTTTGAGTAATTCTTCTAGGCTGGCCATTCCTGGGCAGATCTGCCACACTTCCAAGTTATTTCCATTTGGAGTTGGTGGCTCTCACTGTGGTTCTCTGGAGTCCAAGGCTTTTTGAGGGTGCTTTGTACCCCTTTCCTGACTGATATATTTCAACAACTTTCCTTCTCAGGTCTTCAGAAAATTCTTTCAGTTGAGGCAAGGTGTGCTGCTTGTTAAGACCCCTTCTGCAGCTTGTTGCTGGAATGGTTCTATTTTAGTGATGTGTAGATTCAACAGGGCTGGCAGCAATCAGGCATGGGTGTGTCTAGCTTAATTTAATCCTTTATTAGTTTGATTTGGTTCATTGATTGATTGAGTGACTAAGGCGGGCGAATGCTCTGTCACATGGGTGACATGGGTGTTGGTGAATTTTTGTCCTTCAATGAAAAAATTGCCATTTAAAAACAGTGTGTTGTGTTTAATCAGGTTGTCCTGTGTACCATCCCAAATTTGATTAAAGATCAGAAACAATTAAGTGTAAAATTAGACCAGGGAGCCCACGGTGACATTTCTCAAGAACCCAAAATCTCTAGCTGTGCACCTGTCCACCACGCTGCACCCGTTCAGCCCCCAGAGGCTTGTGGGGGATTTCCATTTCGGTGACCTCCGGTGACCTTCCCATATCAGGCCAAACAGCTGCGATTGTGCATTGAAAAGCTGGGGGGTGTGCTGGCAAGGAGCTTAGGGATTGCACCGGATTCCTTCTCTTTCTTCCTCTCCCTGCCGCTTTCCGAACATATCCTGTTTCTTATCTCGCATACAGGGAGACGGAAAGGACAGCAGCACATTTTTCAGCTGGAAGGAACAGCGTTTTTTGTATCATGTGAGGTTTTGACAAGATGCTCTAATGGAAATGATGTATATGCTGTTTTTTTTACCTTTTTAAAACCGCAATATCCGCCTCCTTACAGATAAACGTACATAAAAAGCAGCTAATTCTGCCTTCAGGACCAGTCCAGCTCTTAAAAGTAGTTCTCAGCTTTCCTGAGAGACATTTTAGATGTAGCCACGGCCAAAAGGTGCATTAGAAGCACAACATGGACGGATAGGCATGTATCCTCAGGTGCTATTCGGGGATATTTAAGGATGAGCTGTCAGGACTCTGGTACTCCTGTTTCCTCCATCTCCTGAGTCGTCTCAGGTTTGAGGACTTCTGGTTTCTGGTTGTTTTCTGATTCCTCACCCTCTTCTGTTTGGTCCACTACAGTCTAAATATACAAATTCCACCCCGAGTCACGGTCTTGTTTAACTATTCCTGCCACCCAAGTCCAGCGCTAATTCAAATATGCAAATTTAAACATGCAAAATTAGCCTCAAACTGACAGCACAGTCCTGGAAGTCAAGTCCCTAGCATCTGCAAACGAACTCAGCACATCCCCAGACATTGAATCCGACAGGAGAGGTTTCCTTGAATAAAAAAGAGAACATTGGAGATAATTGGTAGGCTCATACAGATCCTCCTGAAGTGATTTGTTTATATCCGAAGGGTTACAAAGGCCACATATCTCAGGACATGCAACCTGACCACTGTCTTTCAAGCAGAGTAGAGCAGTGTTTCTCAAACCAGTCCTTGGGGACCCCCAGATGGTCCATGTTTTTGCTCCCTCCCAGCTCTCAGGGAATTGGGGGAGAGCAAAAACGTGGACTGCTGGGGCTCCCTGAGTACTGGCTTGAGAACCACTGGAGCAGAGATCTTGTGGCATAGCCAGGTTTGAAAACCAGGGTTACAAAACGTCACTGGAAGGAGACACGCCTGAACTCTTTGTGTGGTTAAAAGATGCTCAGATATTTCTGGAGGGACACCCCGTGTTCTTTGTGTAGCTGAGGGCAGTCTGGTTAATTGGTAGGAGTTTCCTGCCACTTAAACCGTTACACAGACTTTTTATCCTTTCAATAAAACACATCTGTTCCCTGGAGCTCCTGGGGAATGTTCAGTCAGAGCTGTAGTGTGTTTAGGATTCTGTGCTTGGATGGTTGCTAGTTCAAACCTCATGGCTTGCAGAGTGAGGTCACCGTTGGGCACTTCAGTAAGGCCCTTAACCCCAACTGGTCTGACTCTGCTTTCTGATCTTCATTTCTTACGTCACTGTGGACAGAAGCACTTGCTAAATAAATCAAATGCAAATTAATGTAAATGTTTTGCTTCACCGGTGAAATCCAGGTTCTGTGTTTCCCTTGTTATCTGCAGGGCTCTCAGGACGCAGTCTCTGGAGTGGTACTACAGTAGCGTCAAGAGTCGATTCAAAAGGTTTGGAAGCGCCAAGGTACTGAAGACTCTGTACAGGAAGCACGTGGTGGACCGCGGGGTTCTGTCGGAACTCTTAGGTACCGGCTTCCCCTGTTTTATTCATTTTTTAACTCTTTCATGTTTTTCTTCCTCTACTAATACTATGGAGTTTAGAAATAATTAATTTTTTTACATGTCTATTCTGGACTTCAGGACAGTTTATTTTTGCATGTTGTGTCTATTCTGGACTTCAGGACAGTTTATTTTTCATGTTGTGTCTATTCTGGACGTATGGAAACCTTGATAAATTGAAGGTATCAGTATGAGGCAGACAGGGGGTGAAACCTTGCTGTTTCCACTTTTGGATATCAGTCCCTGATGCATCTCAGAGCACCGCATAACCGGACAGTTATTATCTGGCATGTTATTCGATGGTCTAGTATAACCACCCAAGCTTACAGGGGACAATGGAGAGTGAGGTTCTTCGATAAGAGCATGTTAAATTGCATACTAGTGTTTTCTTCACTTCAGCCCCTCTTGCTATAACTCTCGCTGATGTCCCGCTATTCACTCGTTTAACAGATATCCATCTGCCTGTTCAGATTGCCCCATTTACCAAACCCATTTATGTTTTCTGTGAGTCTGGCTGCTGCCTGCCCACCTACTTGCAGCCGTTTCCCATCCCCAGGGATTCAGATGCTAATGTTCTTGTCATTTGACCCCTTTCTACACACGGCCGGTTGGTGTTTCCACTGTCCCTTAGCGTGCGGCTGAGCACCTGGAAACCTTCTGACTGCCTCCCCGTCGCCTCCTTCCCTCTGCATCCTGAGGCTCACAGTAACCGGATAAGCAGTATGAATAGGTGGAGGACCACATCATCGCATTAGTCTTTATTGGTTGAATATGGTCTTTAATTTGCCTGTATATACTGATCAGCTGTAACCATAAAACCACTGGCAGGTCAAGTTATTAACATTGATTTTGTCATTACAATGGCACCTGTCAAGGGGGCCATTATACACTATATGGGCAAAAGTATGGGGACACACCTCTTAGTCATTGAATTCATGTGCTTCATTCAGACCCATTGCCACAGGTGTATAAATGAAGCATCTAGCCATGCAGTCAGGTTTACTAACATTTGTGAAAGAGTGGGTCACTCTTAGGATCTCAGTGAATTCAAGCGTGGTTCTGTCACAGGATGCCACCTTTATAATAAGTCAGTTAGTGAAATTTCTTCCCTACTACATTTACCACGGCCAACTGTAAGTGGTATTATTGCTAAGTGGAAGCGTTTAGGAACAACAGACATGAAGAGTCGGACCAAAACAAACGGACGAGTCTAGTTTTGGTGGGTGGCAGGAGAACGTTACCTGCCTGACTGCACTGTGCCAACTGCAAAGTTTGGTGGAGGAGGGGTAATGGTATGGGGTTGTTTTTCAGGGGTTGGGCTAGACCCCGTAGTTCCAGCGAAGGGAACCCTTAATGCTTCATTTTGGACAATTCTATGCTTCCAGCTTTGTGGGAACAGTTTGGGGAAGGGCCTTTTCTGTTCCAGCATGACTGCAAAACTATTCCACAAAGCGAGGTCCATAAAGACATTGGTTGGATGAGTTTGGTTGGGTGGAGCTTGACTGGCCCACGCAGAGCCCTGACCTCAACCCCATCAAACACCTTGGGGATGAACTAGAACGGAGATTGTGAGCCAGGCCTTCACGTCCAACATCAGTGCCTGACCTTACAGAAGCACTTCTGAATGAATGGGCAAAAATTCCCACAGACACACCCTAAAATCTTGTCTTGTGGAGTCCATGCCTCGACGCATCAGAGCTGTCTTGGTGGCATGAGGAGTACCTGTACAATATTAGGCAGGTGACTTTAATGTTATGGCTGATTAGTGTATGTTTCTTCCTAAATACAACAGGCTGTTCAGAGTAAATATATTCAAGGGCACAACCCTACCATTCCCCTCCAGGCATTCAAGCCCAACACCTTCTGGGGTTCAGTCCAGCACAGATACCAAGGACCTTGGAAGCTGTAGCATCGCCAGAAGCAGGCATCTTTATGCAGACAGGCTCGCGCACACAAATCCATGAAATCCCATAGGGCAATAATACCCATAATCCCTCTTAAAGGAGCGCCGGCAGAATTAGGCCACTCCCCGGCTAAGCCTAATGGATGACTCCGAATCGCTCGTTTTGTCAAAAAAAAAACATTCCTGCCTCCTGGCTTCTGGAAACTGCTGTCGGAGCCTCTGCTCCTGCTCACTCAGACGCCGGCCGTCCATAGCGTAGACGGGACCCTCTCATATTCTCTGTACTGTGGCCCAAGATTGACGCACAGACTGACAGGAAACCGAGGAGGATCATCTGCAGGATGGGATGCTAGAGTCTGTGAGAGCCAGACTGTCTTCTCAAATTATCCGTGCTGCTGCTGTTGTCCTTATTTAAGCCGCTATTGTACCGACAGGCTCGCGCACACAAATCCATGAAATCATTTTGTTATTTAATGTTGCAATTTGTGTATCATGTAGATATCTCAGCAACTTAGGGTGCTTAGTTTATTTATATCCTGTTTTTACCCTTTTGTACCTATATTTTCTCATGCTCTTCAGAAACAAGCAGTCCTATAATCAGGGTTTATTCTCTGCCTTAGAACACTTCATCCATCCATCCATCCATCCATCCATCCATTCACCCATCCATAGCTGTTCATCTAGCACAGAAACACAGTGGAGCCTATCCCAGCAAGCACTGGGCACATGGCAGGGGTACACCTTAGATTGGGATGCTATTACTCATCAAAGATGCTATTAGCATATTCCTTTCATGTTTTCTTGCTCGCACCTGTTGCTACGCAGGACAACGCGTTCATTAGCGACAAGCGCGTCTGTGCCGGCGGAGCCGAGCTGTGAGTCTCTGCAGACCCCTCGCCCCCCCCTGCCTGCCTCAGACAGCCCTCGCATCCCTCATCTGCTGCCACGGCACGTCTCTCCTCGGCCGAGAGCCGGAAATGAGATTAGGCAGCTCGTAACACGCCGAGCGCATTGATTCACGCAGTCATTCAGCACCATCCCCCCGGCCCAGACAAGGCTTAACTTAGGGGCGTGGGGAGGGGGGGTGGCAGCAGAGGTCAAAGGATCACCACCTGAGACTGCTCTACAGTCCTGCTTTATTATCGCCCCCTGGTGGGAACCTGAGGCATAACGATTATTTGGTGAGATTTATTCAAGAAAGATTGTTGGGGAGGACAGTAACTGCCTGTAGATTTGTTCACCCTCTCACTGGTGTGGTGCTGCGCATGTTATGGCAAGCATTAGGTGGGGGGGCACTTCCTCTTTGGCCCACGCTTCTTAAGGGGGTGCACAGACGTAGATGGGCGGAGGGGAGCAAGAGGATGTTAGAATAAATTAGAGGGAAAGCTTGTTAAATTTATGAAAGTGTGTAACCTGGCTGTATAACATGTTCAGTAAGAAGGGAGGCGGTCACATGACCACGTCCAGCAGACATGCTGGCGAATTCCCAGACGGGCAGGCAGACGGTCGCCTCTGGCCCTGCTGAGGACCCTGTATCCCCCATTTCCCGGTCAGGTCCTCAGGGACCCAGATGGGCCACATTTTTGCTCCCTCTCAACTCCCTGGAGGAAAAACTAAACTATGTGGGGGTCCCCGGGGACCAGTTTGAGAAACACTGCTCTAGCGAGAGAGGCGGCAGGAGACAGCCTTCTGGGAGACAATCTTAGCTGAAGCCAAGCGCCACCTGCTGGTCATGTTATGCTAAAATGCTTATTTACAAAAGAGGTTATTGACTTCAGGACATGATTTACTCACACATACGCTTCCTAAATCACTAAACCAATCTGCAGTCAGCGTTTTTCCCCACAGACGCAGAATAAGCCCAGGGTCCTGGTACTGATGCTGATTTGTAACTGGTTTGTTACTGGTCACCCAGCACAGCAGTTACACCTACTAGGACATTTAGAGACACCAGCTCGCCTAACTGTCGGTTCTGGACTGTGGGGGGGGGGAGGGTGCAAAAATTTGGAAAATTTACAAGCTCCCCACTTGCAGAACTGGAATTCGAACCCTCAACCCTGGAGGCATGAAGCACCGCTTCATTACAATGCAGGGAAACGGAAAGCCTGAATCGCATGGTTAGGGTTCCGTATCGCTAAATGGATTAAACCAGTGTTTGTTAAATGTTATGATTGATGGTAATAAATGGTTCAGTGGCGCCACCTGCTGCTTCTGCTGATCTCAGTGCGTGTGGGAGCCTTGCACCCGGCTGGCCTTATCTTACCCACCCTGAGTCACCCATTTGGCAGTTAACCTTGACTTCATTTCTGCTTATTTTTGTTTATTTATTCATAACTGTGTGCCCTCAGGCAACATGAGACATTTGTTGTCAGCCCCTGACAGCTTCTGAGTGTGAGTGTGTGTGTGGGGGGGCGGGTGGATGTCACATGACCCTGTGTGCCGGGGAGCTGGCTTTTAGCGGTCCGTGTTCCCTCCCCTGTTCGGATTTGATTCTGAGAGGGATCCCTCAGGGCTAGCCGCTGTTGGCAACAGCTGCAGAGGTGTCCCCGCGATATCGGTCCTGTTGCCGGGTAGTCGAGACCACAGCCCAGGCAGGCAGCCTTCCCCGCCAGCCCCACAGCGCCAGGTATTTGCCTCACGGTATGGTCTGAGGACCCCTGTGGAGTGGTGCGTGCTGTTGCCATGGTGACGTTAGACGGGGATCTGCTCTCCTGCTCTGAGTGGCGAAAGGTGAGCGTGTGGTCGGGATGCAGGAGGTCTGCTGGGCATCATGGAGACAGACTATACAGTAAGGACAACACGTGTCATTCAGGCCCTCTGGTGGAAAAGTTATGCATTACAAGTAAAATATCGCAGGCTCATTAGGTTTACAGAAGGTGCGTCTTCACCTAAAGCCTGGATTTAATCCCCACAAGAGGCCCCTGAATGTGCATCCTTTTGACTTGCTACAATCCCCAGGTGTCTGTGTTTAGAGCAAGCTTTTATTTCTTCAAATTGTTTTTCATTTTTTAAGCAAGCTTCATGACTGGACCTCTGTACAGTTCACTGGCTTGATAAGGTTCC